CTTCAAAATGAGGTTGGTTAATGAGCCATCTAAAACAGGTAAGATATTTAAAACTTTTCATAAAACTTCAAAATAACTGAACTATCTCTTTAAGATCAACAACCCATCATATTGTACTTCCATTAATTCAGAACAATGACTCTCAGGTTGGAGTTCAAAACTGTAACCATTAAACAGCAGCTTCACAAAATAGATTTAACCATAAGGCCGATTTTAAATTCCACAGTCTCTTTCTAAGACTGTTTAATGTTGTGACATTTCAATTTAAAGTTTAGAATTGAGCTGCTTTAACAACAATTACCTTAAAACATCTAATAGCGATTTCCCGATTTGCCTCCGAGTGTTTAGGGGGAAGCCACCACCGCAACATCTGTTAGTTGCATCTGATAAATGATCAGCTTCGCAGCCACCGCAATTAGTTTCTGACAGTTTGAGTGGAATCAATAATTCACATAGAGTAAACCATAGCTGCATGAAATATGTTCACACAAGGCAAGTGATAAAAATGTTTTGTCAAATCAGYTATTTTTTCATTTAAACAAATGAAACTGCAGAAGACAGATAACTTCTTTTATGTGTATTTAATAGTGGTAATGAGAGTTTTTGAAAGTTAAGACAACAGAAAGGTTGAAAATGTTTCAATTACTGTGATTTTTACTGGTTTGTACAGARCCTGTCTGATGACATTCGTTTAAAAAAATTAATGCTTTGCCACGAGATAAYAACTCGTGACCTTAAGATAATTATTGCAGTCATTTCYCATGCAGAGACCGATGATTGTTTACATGGACACATTTGAACTGATTTCATTTTATTTCAATACAGGAATGAATGACATCCTTCAGTCACTTGCAGTTAAGCATGAAGGAATTCTTATATGTTACAGCTATGAGACAAGGAGTATGTTGCGTTCAGGAACACGGTAAAAAATCTGTTTCCCGACATTCACCTAGAGCGTTCAATGCCATCTCGTAAATACCACTATTATGAAAAATGAATCGTTAAGGTTTTTGTATTAAACATAGATGGAAGAAGAAGAAGAAGAAGAAGAAGAAGAAGAAGAAGAAGAAAGAAGAAAGAAGAAGAAAGAAGAAGAAGAAGAAGAAGAAGAAGAAGATTTTTTTTACAAAAACATTTATTAACAATTATCTTGCCAAAAATAAAAACAGACTTTACACAATTAGATACACAAACAGAAAAAAAACAACACAAAACAGCCAAAAAAAAAAAATTACATTAGCAGTTTGTTAAAAACGAATTCTTTTTCTTCAGAAACGTTGCACAATATATTACTGAAACCCCACAATTGCAAGAAGCTATTTAAGAAGAAGAAGTAGAAGAAGTGTGGTGTATTTTGAACAGTTCAAAAACAAAAACAAAAACAACATATTCATATATAATCTGACTCCAACAGTCTCATAAAGAGAACTGCTCAAAATTATCTCGTGGCCATGCATTATTTATTTATTTTATTTTATGTCACTGGATGGCCTCCGTATGTTTGCAGCTACTTAGATGCTGCAGATTTTAAAGAAACCCACAAAACAGTAATCATTGACTGTTCATCWCAAMGTCATCATTAACAACTGCAKTTGACCCAATTSAAGATGGCCACATCTGATAGCTCTTAGACAACATGGATATGTGTATAAKTCAGTCAATTTGACTGATATTAAACTAAATTTGAGCCTGGAGCACCCAGTAATTTAGAACACAAKATCTGAGCATAATCTCACACTGACACAAGAGGTCATATATAAGAATTGACCCAAACATCAATACCTCTGCAATCCCTTACTTTACACAAAGAAATTAGCAGTACCTTTTCTGCAAACGAGTCATTTTGTGCTTTCAAACCCACTTTCTCTCAGTTCATTCAGTAAGGAAGAGGATTATTTTTTGATCAGATTTGAAGTTTTATAAAAGAGTTGTTGTGTGTCAGGGGTTAAATCCCGGCTCTGGGTCAGCTCTGGCTCGRCCTCTCTCAGCAGCTCGTTCACTCRGTGGTGTTTGTGTAATGAGACACTGTTAAACGATGCTGAGAGCGCCCCGGTGCAGTCACGGCCCGTTCCACCTGACTCGCTCCTTGCTGCTGCTGCTGTTAGCTTATCTTCTCCAGGCTAATTTATGACCCCATCAGAGTCATCGGCTGCTGGCTGCACCGGATGTACACATGATAGAASCAATTACTTAAACTAATGACTGGAGTCTTCTCTCTTTTTATTGTGGATTTATAGTTTATAATGGAGGTGGTGGTGGACCTTACAGAAACACCACTCTACTTTTGCTTGCTTGTGCTACTTTCCACAGCTGATACCCAAGCAAGCTGAACCTCTCAGAAAGCCGTAAGTATAATGAATTTTAAGTTTGTTAATATTAATTTAATAATGTAAATAATAATATGAAGTACTTTTTAGGTTGGTTTACAATTAGCTGCCTCTTTCTTGGTGTTAAACATAAACCTACTTCATTTGGATTTCTAATTTGCAAGATGTGGGAGTGGCACAGCACATCGCTGCATGTGCGAGCAGCGTTTTGTGTTTTATCCTTCTACAGCGTCTTTCTTCACTTTTGTGCTTTTTTGCCCCCAACATCCATCAAAGGTCAGTAAGAATATTTTATAKAAGTGGATCAATTATTATGTTAAAAATACCAGTCTGCACAGAACAGCTTTGCTGTCCAAGTCGTGTTTAAGTYACTTTTACATGCTAAACATCTGAATATGATGCTTTCATTACAATTTAGTTTGTTTGAATGCAACGATACAGCCCTTGGGAATTATCTGCTGTTTGGATTACAATATTATTTTACAAAATCTGTGCTAATCATGATTGGTGAAGGGTAAAGCACAAAGCTTACAACGTTATAAATAATTTAAGAAATGCACTTTTAGTCATTTGTTATGGAAGAAATACTCATTTCTAAACTTTTGAGGATTGCTACAGCAATTAAATAAAAGTTTGTATWGTAATAAGCAAAGCAGGGGAGATTATGTTTGCTTGCAAACCAGCAGTCATCACATGTCAAAGTAAAATGTAAAGTTAATCCCACTAATCAGTGTTAGATACGAGCTCAAAGGRGCCTAATGGCTGATCAGATTAAGTTTTAAGATTTGTGCCCATTAAATATTTATAAGTTTCAGTGAACAAGATCATTTTCAAGCATCTTAAATGATTTGTTCAGATGTTTTCAAGCGAGGATCTGTTGAAAGGTACAAAACTATTATCTTACCTGTGGCAGATGCAGCTTGTTGAACAAATTTAATTTTAAGAAATTCAGTTTAAATCTGAAGTGACTGATTGGCGAGAAGTTCGGAAAAGTTAGGTTCACAAACCAAGAATTGTAGCTCCGCTAATGCTAATCCGCTAAACAGATAGTGAAAGCTAACACTAACCRCTGAGATGACTGTCACCCAGCCCTTGTCACAGTTGAAGACTGGTGGCACTAATGCAATGTTGGTTTAATTCCAACCAGTTACAGTATAGCTCTGTCTAACTTGTATTTCCAGTTTACCCCTTTCAGAATAAAAAAACACGTCTTTGACTGAGTTTTTTTTATTAATGCAATAAATAGCAAACACTTTTTCTACCATATTTTGTCTTTAATTTTTGGTATTCTTTATTTAAATGTTAAATGTTATTTTATTTCTGTTTGACGCTCTTAGTTTGAAGTTTAGCTGGCAAAGATGCTACACGCATGCATCCTGCACTGCTTGTAAGAGGGGATAGTTTTTATTTAATTGTTTTAAAGTTTTAAACTTGTGAATGTTTTAGTGGACTTAAAATAAGTGGAACCTAATTTAGGGGAGGCCAAATGGTTTGCTATAAGTTTCCAAACAAAAAAAAAGCTAATCCACTACGCTTTATGACAGGCTAGTTCTGCTTTTAGTGGATAAGTGGAACTTTGCCCACCACTGATTGTGGAGGGAATGTATTGCTGCTGTGTGCACTTATAAGAAACAGAATATWAATAAATGTGTAGTACTGACAGAAGTGTAAAGGTTTATAAAATAACCTTCGTGTGAACCAATCTGAAACCTTTAAGACAGCAGCAAATCAGTAGCACACAGACCATTAGCTTATCACTATGGTCCAAATTAAATTCCATTTCTCTGAACATAGAGCCAAATATTTAATGTTCATAATTTCCCCACAGAACCRCACTTCGAAAAACCGAATGTTCACTTAAAAAAGTGCAATTTATATTAAAACACAAAGGTTAAGTGCTTGTACYGACCACACATGCATCTCCTTCCATGTGCACTTGTACAAGGCTGAGGTTAATGCCATGTCCCAACACAGTTAATGAAAAGTGACATGCAGCCCGAGCTCCAGGGCACACGAGGTTAGCTAGCCCTCAGCATGCAGACACACAAACACACACACACATGCTGTCTTTTCTTGAGGATTATTTCCTTGCACCCTTTGCTCCTGTTGGAGGTGTCCAGTGAGTCTTTAGGTTTCGTCTTCCTGTCTCATGTGTCACAGTGTGTTGACACATGCACGGGCAGTGATGCATTATGGAAGAYGTCTGCAGCTTACAGTACAGTAGACTAGCAAATATCTGCACAAAGATTCATGTAACAGGAGCCAAACTGAAAAAAACACCTAATCTCTGGTTGTGATGGTTTTATCTCACTCGATGCAGTGGTGTGTTCGCAGCGACACAGATGATTAAAATCACCATGACCATAATTAGTTTTGATGTAACGATAGCCTGAGTGTAGGTCTGCACACAACATTAATAAACACTGATGATAAAGTGTTTTYGCATCAGTTGCTCAGAGTGTGTAAACAGCTTTTCTTTTCATGTGAATGGGCGTCTATACGAGGAATGGCTCACGCTGCAACACAGGCTAATTCYTGTTAATCCCAACACAGCTTCTACTACTTAGGGATGGTTTCCAATGGCAGCCCCACGAGCAGGGGACTTTCTACTGGGATTAGATTGTGTTAGCTCCTCCTCTGCAGTTTACACTCATGGCCAGGCAGGGCCTGCCTGCCACTGCGTCTGTTCTAAACTTTCCCTCAGGAATGGATTAACTGGTTTTTGAAAATGTCCTGTGGTGTATTGGTAAAATAATGTAAGTTTTGTTCATCTTTTTATTTTTAGCTTGAATAGAAGTTTATTAGTTGGCAATTTTAATGGAAAACGTAGAGCAAAACAGATAAACATCATCAAAGGATATTTGATACATTTATTTTTTTAAAAGTGCTGTGAGAGCTTTGGTTCGATTTTCACTGCATACATGTGCTTCTGCTTTATTTATGACAGTTCACAAGCTTGTGGTTAAACTGCTGACTTGTCATTTTGAATTTGTTGTCAGTTATGAATCATTCTGAAATGATGCACACCTTTGATTGACTTAATATTTATGATTGCTAGATTGCATTGGACATCTTGTAGTAGTACTGCATTGTGCAAAATTTTATTTAGCTTCAAGGGAGACAGAATTTATTATAATTAATCAATCGTTCCTCAGTGGACATTTTATCCACTTTAACTCCCATACAAACCAGCATGAATCAGTTTAAGCTCTGAATAAGGAAGTTATAGTCTCAAAATGAAAACTGATTTTAAAGAAAAGCTTGTGTTTTAACCTRTGTGGAGTTTCCTCTTATACATCGTGCTCTAAATCTTAGATAAGCTTGTCACTGATATTTGTACTAAATTAGAGATTACAATCACTGCTGACACACCAAYCTGTGATAAAAATGTACAAAAGCATCTTCTTTTCTAACTGCAACTCACTTTGTCTTCGTGTAGGAGATCTCTCTTAAAGATGTTTCCACAATCAGGAAAATCAATCGTCTTTGACAATTTTCCGGACCCTACTGACACCTGGGAAATTATWGAGACAATTGGCAAAGGAACCTACGGGAAAGTCTACAAAGTTCTCAACAAGACTGACAGAAGTAAAGCAGCTGTGAAGATACTGGATCCCATTCATGTGAGTTGTGTTGGAAAAACTAATGCAGCTAAGTCAAATAACACATCCTAGATCTGAATGAACGACTCATTGACGTGTACTGATAGCATGTGAAATACTTTGTCAATCAATGTTACTTCCTAAGTGGACAGTTTGATTTCATAGAAGTATATATAT